AACGCAAGAAGCAAGTAGGCAGGAAGCAAGGAGGAAAGGAAGCAAGCAAGCAAGCAAGCAAGGATGCAAGGAGGAAGGATAGCAAGGAGGCAAGGAAGCAAGCAAAGCAAGCATGCAAGGAAGCAAGGAAGCAAGGAGGCAAGGAAGCAGGATGGCAAGGAAGCAAGCAAGCAAGCCATGCAAGGAAGCAAGGAGGCAAGGAAGCAAGGAGGCACAGGATAAGCAAGCAAGAAGCAAGCAAGCAAGCAAGCAAGGAAGCAAGGAGGCAAGGAAGCAAGGAGGCAAGGAAGCAAGCAAGCAAGCAAGCAAGGAAGCAAGGAAGCAAGGAGGCAAGGAAGCAAGGAGGCAAGGAAGCAAGCAAGCAAGCAAGCAAGCAAGGAAGAAAGGAGGCAAGGAAGCAAGGAGGCAAGGAAGCAAGCAAGCAAGCAAGCAAGGAAGCAAGGAAGCAAGGAAGCAAGGAAGCAAGGAAGGAAGCAAGCAAACCCGCGAAAACCAAAGCGTCGCCGGATGAGTACCCTGCCTCTGCAGTCGGCTTCTCAGCCATGTCCATTCCGGTGCAATGCAATCGTTTTCTTCTGCGGTGTAGCACCACAAGTCAATGATAGCTTTTGCTTGGGCTTCTCTCCGCTAGTCTCTTGAACGTAGCATTTCTTGACAAACGTAGCCAAGAACAAAATTGCTTCCCACGAATATGATATCATGGCCGAGTCGCAAGCCAAATTCCTAGGCGATCGTGTTACTTCGCCCAAAATGAATGGTCGTTTGGAAGCTATAAACCGCTGGTACCATGTTCAGCTGCTATTTGAGCAACGTCTCGATGCCGCGCCTTCTCATCCGAGCCCCGGACAAACTCATCAAAGACTTCATCCCACGAACTGGGACATGCTAGGGTGGCCCCCGCCATGTCTTTGCCAACTGTAGACCAGCAATATGTCTGTCAGCTCTGTCCGTGTAGCAGCTGAAACGGGATCAGAAAACCATTCAGGGTGAGCCAGGCTCCTGAAAGTGAACCCTTGCAGCGTAGTTTCCCCCTTTGTCCTGAATGCCACTTGCACGGACCTGCAAATAACCTTGGGAGATCGATCGGGTGGCGTTTGGATTTGCCGCCCAGCATGCTGGCAACTGCTTCGAACCTGCCCTCATCCAATCAGACAAGCTGAGGATCTGAGGGCTTTGAAATACCTTTCTTTGTGGGCTTCACTATGGTTAGAAAGCGGTCTAACAAAACCATCAAGGGCATGTTCAGGTTCGTCTTGGCCCCGGAGGTCAGGTTTCGCAAGGTACACTAGTACACCTTCATGACCCTTCAAACATCACCCCTGTCCCTTTCAAACGTCACCAAAGCAAAGCTCACCTTAAATTGGCAAAAGCTCCAGGGGTACCTTCCCCATTGTTTCCACTGATCCTTCTTTCTAGAAAACCTCCGGACACCCAGCGAAACCGGACCTGTTGTTTGAAAAGAACGATGGTTGAAAAGAATGGGGAGTCAACCCCTAGAAAATTGGCAAAAGCTGATCATCCGAAAGCTTACGAACACCTGCATCTTGGAATCCTTTCTGACGAGAATTGATTCAGTTGCCCGAGCCTAGAACAAGAAATTGGCGCTGGGATTGACCACAGGGGAAACCCAGCGGAAAGACTTGTTCGGGTGAATTCCACTAAACAGTCCCCTCAAAAAACCCCAAGAGACCTCCCGAAACTTTGGGCTTTCCACTTAGGACGCGGTCAGGTCTACAATCCCGGCAATCGGTCCACATTTTGGGTTCGCCGTAGCGATTGGTCGGATCAGCTCACGACCTCATTCTTCCGCACCAATTGTGCGTGCTTGGCGCCCAAGAGGCCTGCGCGAGAGACAGAGAGAGAGAGAGAGAGAGACAGAGAAGCACAAGAGAAACCCGCAGGTGCTGCGAAATTTGGTGTATGAAACGAGTCGGGTCTGGGGCAACAGACCAACCAGAAAACAACCAGAGGTGGCCCGGGGCCTTTTCTGCAATGGTTCAAACAAGTGCCTGGAATGAGGTTGGGTGTCTTGCAATGGGAAACCGCACAATTCTTCAAACAACCCCGGAGGGGTACCCGAATGGGTGTGTCTCGAAACACCGGACCCAGTTAACCCTCTTTGCCTAAAAGGGTCGTTTGACCTTGGCACATGCTTGTCTTCGTCCAACGCCCCACAAACGAACAAGTCTCAGGGATGCGGAGTGGCAGGATTTCTGCTAATTACCCTCGTCCCGAGACAAACAACTTAGGTTTTACTGTATGCTCGGCCCTTTGCTGGTTTGGGCCAGACTTCGACGCCAAAACACATGGCTCCCAGGCCCCTCGAGTCGAAAAACGACCCGCCGAACGCCCATTCGCGGTGTGCCTGCGACGATGGCCCAAACAGCACACCATCCAACACTGAAGATGCCCGTGAACGCGGGCTGGAAACAGTGGGGCTTGCACGAGTCCTGCCAAGGGCCAAAGCCAGGCGCTGGGTCAGATGCTCGCCGCCAAGAAGAAAACACTGCTCGAGTTGGGAGTGGTGTGTTTAATCCCCCGCTAAGCTCAAGTCTTGTGGCAAGAGGGGTGGCGGGCGAATCCCGGCAACGCTTTCCTGGTACCAAGAAAGAAACAACACAACAAACAAAAAGGGCACGGTTAGGCTAAGTCTTGCACTGCCCAGAATGCACGGGTGAGTAATAAGTTACCGCCCTGGAACATGGAACCGAAGGAAAGGAACCTCATGACGCCCGAGGTCGTAAACCAATGCCATTTATGAGGCCGCTTGTTTAAACACATATTTCTTACATAGATGACCAATCCATGAATTTTATCTAGCATTCCAGGCAAAGCTCGGTGCTGCTTGCAGTTGATTCTTGAGCTGTACCAAAGCACTCTCATCAGAACGGCACATGCCTGATGGTTGTACCAATCAATGGAGCAACAAGAAGTGAACTCCTTCTCCAACTCCAAAGGGTGAATCCAAAGGACCCCCCCCCCCCCCAATTTTAATAGATCTTAAAATGCAACTCTGGAAACCCCTACCATGAGGAGGTCCCCTTCACACTCATTGAACATCGTGTTAGCCAGCTTCCAGTTGAGGTCTGCCCAGGTATGAGCCCCTGTTGCCCCAACCCGAACCGAATAAACTTGTTTTGGGGGGCGGTGCAAACAACTTCCCAACCCCTGTGTTGTCCGTCTCTTGCACGGTAACCCGGGTTTTCTGTGAGCGGACCTTACTTAAAGTAAGGCTTACTTGAAGACCTTGGAAGCCGCGCCTCCTCACGGTTAATATGCAAATTGATCAGCGCTCCCAAGGTCTTCTGCAGGAAGTTGCCATACCTGAGCGATCGCAAACGGGCACTGCAGTTTCCCGGCCCCTCCCCACCACCAAGATTCAACTTGTCTCTTTTCTCATGCATGGGACGGCGAGAGGTGCCCATCACCGATGCTCCCCTCCCCAATTAGGCCTTATCAAGGGCTTGTCCTTGACTTTTCCAGGATAGCCCACTAGCCCCCCCAGGCCCAGACTATCAGGTGCACTCAAAACTGGTGAATTTTCCTCTCAAACGTACCTGAAACCCACCAGAGCCCTGCCCGGCCTTCGAAAGGCGCACTCGAACCCGGGCGCTAGAGTTGCAGAAGCCTCATCCTATCTCGGCTCACTTACACATAGTCAGCCCCCCTGCAACAAAAAGTTCACCCTTGACTGCAAAAGGAAAAGGTTAGCTCAGTTTGGTGGCAACCTTTGCGCGGCTTCGCAGCCTCACCAGGTGTAGCAACAGCTCGACACTTGAAGACCAGAATCAAAGAGGGACCTGTGTGTGTGTGTGTGTGTGTGCCAGCCAACAGTGCATGCCAGTCACAACTTCAGTGGCTGTGAAATTGTTCTCGATCAGCCATTTTCTAGATCAAGCAACACTATGGTCATCTAACATCTTGCGAGGTCCTGTGACCCTGCTCAGCTTCGCAAATGTGAAGGAAGGGATTATGGGGTGACATTTTGTGACCTCCCGTCGCTCGTTTCAGCCCGAAGTTGACATGACAATGGGTTGGGAGCGTGCTTCAACAGGGCTAGCATCTTCCCCGCAAAGAAAATGAATGAACCTTTTCTTTGAGGGTACCTGTTATGGGATTGCTTGGGGACACCTGATGCTAACCACACACAAACCCTCGCCTCCCTACTTTTGTGTGGCACCTTGGAAACGGTCCCAGCATGAATTTTCCAGGCATCCCCTTCTAGGAAGGGTGGTACCCACGTGACTTCCCAAGTTGGCATCACTTCAAAGGGGATGCGGGCATCCATAGTTCAAGGCCTGGTTTTGACGCAGGCCAACCAAGAAGCCCTGCAAGTGTCATTTCCGGGTTGCGGGGGATACAGAAAACCCAAACAAACGAAACAAACGGCAAAAGGGCAGCAAGGTCACTTCAGCTTGGCAATTGGCTTCGACATTGTGGGATCCTTTCCAGTGCCCAAAATCCTGGAAAGAGGATATTAATGGGGTTGCTCCAACATCCCTGGCACCAGGGTAGAACTTTGGGCCCCATGATTGGAACGCAAAGGACGCCAAGCCCATGTTCTACCCTTGGGCCGCCGATTTGCCATTTTCGAGGAGCTTCTCGGGGCAAGCGTGTATTAACATTTTGTCAATCACAGGGAGAACCTCAAACTATACCTATCTTCAAAGGGAAACCACCCCCAGCTTTTCCGAGAACCCCTCAAAATGTATCCACTTCAATGGGGCCCATTTACGCTCATGGCAAAAAGTGGACATCTTTCAGGGTCGAGTGGCATATCCGACCAGCTCTTGGCCTTGTACTTGATACTCTTGGAGGTCCGCACGTAGAGCATCTCCCCTCAGCCAATTTCGACGAAAACGAAAACCCAGCGAGATACTCCCCACATTAAGCCTACATGATGGCAGGTTGACGGCGGCCTTAGTTTGGAAGCGTTCGCATGCCAACACAAAACATTTACCGGGATGTACGTCCTACCAGTTCCGGTGACAATACTGTGGATGGACGAATCCACTTCGCACCAGCTGGGATGGATGGAAGAGCCTATGATTGGGATTCACCCGTAATCCCAATTGGCGCCGATTGGCATGGACTTTGTTCACAGGGAGATGGTGGTTGAAGAGGAAAACCACACGGAACCACATTTATACTATATATATATATGTATGTGGTACCCCCCCGCTTGGAATACTCAGGTTTTCGTTCAAGCATTGACATGGTTGCTGCAAAAATGCATGCGAAATGCGCTTTTCAGCTTCTAAAAATGCTGCTCAAAAAAGCACTCTTTGATAGACCTAAATTATCAATCCGGGATGTGCTAGCATATCCTGGATTGGAGATTATCTGACAACTCTTGCTGAGAGTCCTCAAATCTATACTTAGGGGAATCCAGGATGTTGTAGCACGTGCTAGCACATCCTGGATTGAAGATTGAAGATTGAAGATCATCTCGCAACTCTTTCTGTGATTCTTCAATCTTCAACCTGAAATCCAGGATGTGCTAGCACACATCACTTTGACCTGTATAGATTTGAAGATTTCCAGAAAAGTGGTCTGAGAATCTTCAATCTTCAATCCAGGATGTGCTAGCACGTGCTGGCACATGTTGGATTTCCCCAAGTACATATTTCAAGAATCTCAGAAAGAGGTCTCAGAGAACCTTCAATCCTCAATCGTCAATCCAGGATGTGACAGCAGATCCTGGATTGCCCAAGTATGGAATCTGAAAAGGCGGACAAGCAAAGCACGTTCAGAGAGTCAACTTCTGGATGCGCACCGCCTGCATTTTGCCAAGAAGGGAAACATGTGTCTTGAACACTTTACAGCCTTTGTGGTACTTGAGGGCTGGCCAGGATTGACGATTCTCAAAAACAAAATATTGAGATCGAAAACCTTAAAGAGTCTACAACCACTGTCAATATTTTTGGGGGCCAGGATTGAGAATGTTCTAAAACAATGTCTATGGAATCTTGAATAGGTGGCCTTCGATCCAGGGCAACATGATCTGAGCGAATGCTGAAAACTCCGCGTTGAGCTGTTTAAGTAGGATCTCCTTTTCTCAACTTCTGCTTTGTTTGACTTTGCATGGAGTTGCACGTCCTGTCAGCTCAGTTCAGAGTCCCCGCAGTCTGGCCAAAAACTTGAGTTCTGGACAAAAACCTGAGTATTTCAAGGGGGGGGGTAGCATATATACATATATATATATATATAGTGGGGTTCTCCTATCTTGAACGAAACACATCTGGGCTAATGGTGCGGGGCTTGAAGCGACTGTGGGCTGGAGGTGCTGATGGGAAAAATCCTTTGATGCAGAGCCGAGCTCCGAGTTCGTGTGAGGATGAATTCTCAGCATGTGCAAGTGGACTGGCAGAATGCTTATACTTGCAAGAATGCATTAAATCCAGCACTAGCAAGCAGGTTGACATCTTATGCTGCTTGGTTCAAGCTCCGCAAACGTGTTTGGCCTTTTGCGGACTTGTCTCCAATACGAAGCCATAATAACAGATGCATTTGGTATGGGTATGCACTAATTACATGGTATTAGGTGTCCATACCAGACGCCTATATAATCATCTCCCAAAAAATTGCATGTATATGTACTTTTTACTTGAGGGTGCCCCAATTTTATATGGTTTGGATTGAAGGGATACCGAAAGGAACCACAAACTTATATTTGCGAGTCCCCCATATGGGTAGTGTCGCCGGGATAATGCTGCTGCCCAGGTGATGTCGAAACTCATCCCTTGGATTTGCTCAATGTGCCCAAGCTACCACAAGCGACAAGGACTCGTGGGGGAAATCGCTCAGACATTCATCTGTGCGTAGAGTGATGTACGGATTACATGCGCACTTTCGGTGCCATTCACGTATGACATATCTGCCAGTCAGTTGCGGATGTTGAGACATGCCCACCCTCAAAACTCGGATAAGCGTATGTCTGGTCACTAAGTCCTTTAATTGGGATTCATCCTCTACCTCAGCTATCTCAGCTATAGTTCCCCACCCGAACGATATTTGTGATTTTGGCCCGTATGTGGTGAACATCAACATGTAAAACCATCCTACAAACCATCCCAGAACTGGTGTAATCGTCAAGGGGTAAGACCAAATCCAGGCAAAGCGCTGCTAGGTCCGTTCAGGGCGTACTGAATCACGTTCACAACCACCAGCACTGCTTGGACCACCCAGAAGCTGTGGTAGAAGCAGACCAGAAGCACAGAGATTGCCTCGTGGTCAGGGAACCTGGACTACTGTGGACTGACGAAATCCTGAACCACCTAAGAAATAAATCCTGGAATGATGATTCTCTTGTAAATACCAATAAACAATGTGTTCCCCAGGTGTCTTAGATGGTGCAGGATTTCGTCCGTCCACAGTCTGTGGGTGTGCTTCCACAGTATGTGGGTGTACAACCCGCCAAACCAACAGGGATCTCAGGAGGGTCACTAAACAACTGGATTCCAGCCTGCAGCGCAGGTTGTCTAGTTGAATGCCTGAAATGCACATGCCAAATCAGTGGTTACACAGAGGTTGTACAAGGGCCTTGGGCACGTTGACATACCCTAAACGCCAGGCGTATCAGTGCCTTGAATGTGAGGTATAGCTCATTGTAACGTCCTTATGAAGTTGGTGATAATACAGTTGAGTGAAAGTAGATGGCAAAATCCCTCCCCCGAATTTCGTTACATCATCATCAATTACTTCCTGAAAAGAGGTGTGCCATCTACTCTTGCCCTGTGTAAACCTGTAAGATTTATTGTCGGTGCACGACTAATAAGCCCCCGTGGCCTCCCAAATTTCCACCAATACTCAAGGGCCAACATGATGTGAGCAAGAAATCCCGCCCGATCGTTTCTTTTGGGCCTTCCCAAAACCCCCGATGTAACGCCCCCCCCCCTGCAGCGCCCAAGCCAAGAAACCTGCCTTATCTCCCCCATGATTCAGCCAGGCCCTTTTGGGCTCCTGTTGCCCAGAAGGTGCCAAGAAGGCAAGAAGCGAAGAAGTCCCGCAGGGTCCTCTTTCCAGTTCAATTGGCTGGGAAGGGGCCAACAATCCAAAAATAATCAAGGGGGGGCGGGGGGGGATGGGGTCCGCTGTACAAATCAGGGGCAACCTCCTTTACTGCTCCCAAGCAGAAGGGCACTTCAAAAGGGACCTGAAAAAGGGGTTTGGTGCCTTTTGACGAGTTGGGTGACCAACCCCTTTTTGTACGACAATCTGGAACTAGTTCAAAGAGCATCCCTTACCATCGTGTGTTGATGCAAGCACTTGAGATCCCCCAGACAGCCTTTGAAGAAATCGTCAACGCTCGGATTACTCTGTTCTTTTAAACCCAACCATTATGTTGTGGGCCCATGCACCAAAAAGTAATGCTGAGGTCAACAGAATGGGTTTGGGGAACCGGGGTAAGTTCTGAACACAGAAGCTGTAAGCCACACTTGCCTTTAACCAACGCAAAGGAGAGAACAAATCGGCATGTTCCAGAACAGGGGACCTAAGAATCGATTACATTTCCCTCCAAGTGCCGACCAAACGAGTTGGCAACTCACTTTGGAACACCATAAAGCGCGACCAATAACAGCAACTCTGAAGAAACTGACTCATTCCCTGAAACACAAGGCTTGCGTTTAGACCCAAGAACAATACGGGATGCCCCAAAGGAATAAAACTCGAAAAAAAGGAGGAGTGTACCCCAACTCAAACAGCACTTCCCCTCTTTAGGTTCCCAATGAAAGGTCCTTTGATTCCTTCTCTGCAAAAGTCCTGGTGGTTGTCACCTCCCCAACCATAAAGGAACCCAGCCAAGGCTGCAGGACGCTGATGTCAAAGCATGAACCCAAGCCCCACGCCCCAGTGCACTGGCATTAAGTAGTCACGCAAAGGACCTGATTGATTCTTGTGCCAAACCGCTCCTGGACCCCCCGACTCTGCGTCCAGCCCTTGGCATGCAAGGCCGAAAACCTCGCTCTTTGCAGCAAAGTGGGCCGAACCAACAAAAACCACGCAAACTACAGATGCGTCCTGAAACGGGGGACACCCCCCAAACATGGCCCCTTGGCATCCCTTTGGCTTTCCAAACCCCATGGCGGGTCGCCATGGCAATGGGCAGCGCCATCAGCGTGACAATGAGGCCGCCCCGCTCGATCAAGCTCCGCAAGCCCAGCACTGACCTAATGCTCCCACAGGTCTGTAACAGTAGGGCAACCAACGAAGGAACTGGTGCTTATAGGTTGACATAAGTTTATGTAAGGTTTAGATTCGCCGATTCAACTGGTTTCTGGAAGGGAATCCACAAGTTCAGCTGGTTGATACAAGCTTTATATAGGTTGATATAAGTTTAAGTAAGGTTTAGATTCGCCAATTCAACTGGTTTCTAGAAGGGAATCCACAAGTTCAGCTGGTTGATACAAGCTTTATATAGGTTGATGTAAGTTTAAGTAAGGTTTAGATTCGCCAATTCAACTGGTTTCTAGAAGGGAATCCACAAGTTCAGCTGGTTGATACAAGCTTTATATAGGTTGATATAAGTTTATGTAAGGTTTAGATTCGCCGATTCAACTGGTTTCTGGAAGGGAATCCACAAGTTCAGCTGGTTGATACAAGCTTTATATAGGTTGATATAAGTTTAAGTAAGGTTTAGATTCGCCAATTCAACTGGTTTCTAGAAGGGAATCCACAAGTTCAGCTGGTTGATACAAGCTTTATATAGGTTGATATAAGTTTAAGTAAGGTTTAGATTCGCCAATTCAACTGGTTTCTAGAAGGGAATCCACAAGTTCAGCTGGTTGATACAAGCTTTATATAGGTTGATATAAGTTTAAGTAAGGTTTATTTAGATTCGCCAATTCAACTGGTTTCTAGAAGGGAATCCACAAGTTCAGCTGGTTGATACAAGCTTTATATAGGTTGATGTAAGTTTAAGTAAGGTTTAGATTCGCCAATTCAACTGGTTTCTAGAAGGGAATCCACAAGTTCAGCTGGTTGATACAAGCTTTATATA